GACGCTCTCGCTCGCCTCCGGCTTTTTCTGTCCCAACTGGACGTCGGAAGTGGGTTGTTGAGTTTCAAATCTTGAGACCGTTGGTGAGGAAGACGCGAGCACAGGGCGAGGGGAGAAGGGGGTTATGGTAGTCCGTTCCCTGAATGAATGAGCCGGGCGTCTCAGATTTTCTACTTGGGAGGAAAGGGAAAACGCAGTATTTAAGAGGGACTTGTTTCCACACCATTTATTTAATTTTTATTTACAATATATATCCTACTTATTTGCTTGAGGAACAGCACATCTGCAAGATGGACAACACAAAGCTCCTTTAACACATAAAAATAATGCGGAGATTAAAAAACACCTGCCTAAATCTGCTGAGATAGTTCATCCTCTTTCAGATGTGCCCTGAAATATATCTGGCTTGCACACTTTCACAAATGAAGTGTTAAGAACATAAGAGACGCCATTGTTGGATCAGGCCAATGGCCCATCCAGTCCAGCACTCTGTCACACAGTGGCCAAAAATACCAAGTGCCATCAGGAGGTCCACCAGTGGGGCCAGGACACTAGAAGCCCTCCCACTGTTGCCCCCTCCCAAGCACCAAGAGTACAGAGCATCCCTTGCCCCAGACTAAGAGTTCCTATCTATACCTTGTGGCTAATAGCCACTGATGGACCTCTGCTCCATACGTTTATCCAGTTCCCTCTTGAAGCTATCTATGCTTGTAGCCACCACCACCTCCTGTGGCAGTGAATGCCATGTGTTAATCACTCTTTGGGTGAAGAAGTACTTCCTTTTATTCGTTCTAACCCGACCGTTCAGCAATTTCATTGAGTGCCCACGAGTTTTTATATTGTGAGAAAGGGAGAAAAGTACCTCTTTCTCTACCTGCTCTATCCTATGCATAATCTTCTAAATCTCCGTCATGTCACCCCTCAGTCTCTTTTCTCCAAGATAAAGAGCCCTAAGCGCTTTAACCTTTCTTCATAGGGAAAGTGTTCCAACCCTTTTATCATTCGAGTTGCCCTTTTCTGCACTTTTCCCAAAGCTATAATATTCTTTTTAAGGTGTGGTGACCAGAACTGCACACAGTATTCCAAATGAGGTCGCACCATTGATTTATACAGGGGCATTATGATATTGGCTGATCTGTTTTCAATACCCTTCCTAATAATCCCCAGCATAGCATTGGCCTTTTTTATTGCAGTCACACACTGTCTCGACATTTTCAGTGAGTTATCTACTACAACTCCAAGATCTCTCTCTTGATCAGTCTCTGCCAGTTCAGACCCCATAAATGTGTATTTATATTTAGGATTTTTGGCTCCAATGTGTATTACTTAGCACCAATGCTCCCTTTAAGCTGTGGAGTCTTGTGAGCAAAAAATCTACTTTGTGAGCTACTGGCATAAAAGTTGTGAATGAGCGATATGGCTGCTGCATAAATTACCTTACTCTGGAGCCATCCTTCCTGAGCTAAGACAAAAAATGTGTGAGCCAGACCTAGTACCAAGCTCTGCAGCACTCCACTGCTTACCACCTTCCACTGTGAAAACTGTCCATTTAGACTCACTCTCTGTTTCCTCTTAATTAACCAGATTTTAATCCACAAGAGGACGTCTTCTTATCCCCTGACTGCTGAGTTGACAGAAACCTTTGATGAGGAACTTTATCAAAAGCTTTCTAGAAGTCAAGGTAAACAACATCTGCTGGATCACCCTTGTCCACATGTGTGTTAACCCCCTCAAAGAACTCTAACAGGTTAGTGAGTCAACATCTTCCCTTACAGAATCCATACTGATCTTTCCTCAATAGCTTTTGTTCATCAATGTGCCTACTAATTCTGTCTTTAATAACAGATTCCACCAACTTTTCCGGTATCGACGTTAGATTGACTGGCCTGTAATTTCCCGGATTTTCTCTAGAACCTTTTTTTAAAAGATGGGGGTTACATTAGCTACCTTCCAGTCCTCATGAACCATGAACCACTTCACTTTGCAAACTAGCCAAAATTCGTCATGAACTTTAGTTAGTGAGCCAGTTTGTGCCCATCCCTACTTAAGAACCCTGTGGAAGCAAATCACTTCTTTCTGCTGGTGTGAATATGTTAATAGGATGCTCTCTTTGCCCCACTCTAACCATTTTTATCCCTTACTTCAGTGACTTCAGGGATTTTCATTTTATTCTATCAAGGATCCTGTGAAGTAAGTTAGGCAGGGTAGGTAAAGGTAAAGGTTCCCTTGCTCGAAAGCCAGTCGAATCTGACTCTAGGGTTGTGGTGCTCATCTCCGTTTCAAAGCCGAAGAGCCAGCGCTGTCCGAAGACGTTTCCGTGGTCATGTGGCCGGCATGACTAAACACCAAGGCGCACGGAACGCTGTAGAGGCTGTCCCAAAATCTTTCTTTAAATTTCCCTAAAAAATCTGTAGAATTTATAGCCATAAACCAACAGAACATTGTCTGGTTCCTTGAGCCACTAGGGTAAGCAGGGCCCACATTTTTGTCCTCCTGTCTTGGTGGCCTTGAACAGCATAGCAGGAAGTTTTCTTATAAAACACACTTTTACCTGGAGATCACTGTCTCCCATAATGTATGATTATTCAAGATGGTGTAATTATGGAATGTGTGACCTCTTTAAGCAGTCACAGTTCTTAAGACCATAAACGACCAATTCTTTTCTGAAAGTTAAAAAAACTCCCATAACTTGCAATTTGACCTCCTGTGTGTTTCATGTACTAAGCAATAATTACCTATCTCTAGCTGCAGTCTGCTCTGATGCTTCCGAGGAGGACAAATAAATAATATCCAGTATGTCATCACTCCTACCAAAGAGAAAAGGAATAGCTTCTCACATCCCCTCCTTTTTAGCAGCTTGTCTAGGCTCCAAGTCCAAAATCAGCATGCTAAGCCAAAATTTAAAGTGGTGGAAATATACCTGACAGAGCTGTGATGCAATGATCGTGAGTACAGTTTTAATTCACTCATTGAAAGAAAGTGTAAGCGATCAACATAGTGAAGACACATCAGATGAGTAGAAATTAACTTATGGTCTGCTGATCTTTGGCAGGCTGCTCTATCATAGCAGAATTTTCTCACAATCAGAGGGGTGGGGGAAATCTAAATAAGGACGAAAACACTGTTTTAACTGCTGAGAGTAGGTTAAAGAGGAAGCAGGATTTTGGCAGATTTTGCACTTACCTCTCATATCTTAGGTGGTTTCCTGTTTGTACGACATTGACACTTGTTACTTGTGGCATAACTGTACTGTGGTGAAATATTACACTAGTGTGTCCTGAAGTCCAATTCATGAAAGGATTAACCTCCTGAAGGGTGGGTGCAAGGTCCTAGCACTGCAGAAGCCATCTGCCTTGGGGGTGCTGGTCTAATATTGTATCTTAATGTAGAAAGTGTCTGGCACCTCAGTTCTAAACATATTACTTGCAATAGGCCCCACTGATTTCAGTGAGATGTACCTTTACTTAATAAATGCAGTCTGGCAAAAATTAGCTAGCTTTCTAATTTGTTCACGGTGAACAATTTCAACCATAATATCTACCTAACAATAAAATACAGCATTAAAGGCATATCATAAATTACAGTCAGATAAAGCCTCAATCTATACAGCCTTATTAAATCTCCAAAGCTACTTACTGCCCCCTCTCAAAGGCTTAAAAATCCTATGGACAGATAACACAGTAAGGGATTTGTGCATTTCTTCAGTCAGACCATTCTGAAGAATGCGGTAGCCACAGAGAAGGCATGTGATCTTGCCACTGCTGTACATTCCTGACAAAGTATGGCCTGTGGAGCAGATGTTGGTTCTGACTCCACTGAAATCATAGTTAAAGGTAGGGAATCCTGTCGATTGAAGTGAGATTAAAATGTCATTGGCAAGGAAGCAAGGCATTTGTAGTATGCTCTTGATTGATGATCAGAGAACACATGACCTGTGAGTTTCATATCCACTCTCTTATTTGTCTTCCCTGGCTGGAATCTTATATCCCATCTATCTGTCTGTCTGTCTGTCTGTCTATCTAATCTAATTTATATCCCGCCCTCCCCACCTAGGCAGGCTCTCCCTATCTCCTTAATTGCCCATATAAAGAAATGTTGCTCCAACACAATGCTGTCAGTTCAGAATTAACCTTAATAAAGGGTTATTTCAGACATAATGTCAGACCTGGTGAATTTGCTCAGAGAATCCTCATGCTTGTGTGTTCCCCCCTCTCTTTGTAAATAGTGATCTAATTAAGGCTTCCACTTTTGTGGCAAGCCATTGTGCGCTACACGTAAAACGCCAAGCTATGGTTCACTTTGATGTAAATAGAATTTAATATTGTTGATTATTCCTGATTTAACATTACTAGTTTAAATGGAAAGCACAAGCCATAATTGTTAATATGCTTGGATATATTGTTTTGGAGCTGAGAGGATGACAATGGTTGTCACCCCTTCACCATTTTAGCAGAAAAGATAACTGTATTCATCCACCCCATATTGTTTGTTGTTTAACACATTTAAAATGTTTAAATTGTGAAATCTTATTTGAATGCAATTATTACAGACCGGGACTTCTCATACTTTTCGGCACAGCACCAGACCTTCACGAGGATAGACTATATTTTAATATCAGAACACTTGTTAGCGGAATTGGAATCAGCATCCATTGGCACCAGGTATCTGACGGATCATGCATGGTTAGAATGCCAATTACAGGAAAATTTGCACACAAAACCAGATAGACAGTGGTCCATGGATAAAAGCATTTTATTGGACCCCATAATTAAGGACAAGCTGGAGGCAGACATCAGGAACTTTTCCCAAGAAAACTCATCATCAGACGTCTCTACCTCCACATGCTGGGATGCCATGAAGGCTGTTCTACGAGGATCAATG